TCATCAGGATTTGAGTTCAAAGGAAGGTGTAGACACCCCTCCTATTTTATATCATAATGTTGAGCCTACATAATTTGTCAGTATGCATGATACATGGGCAACCCTAGGCATGATGATGCCAAAATAATGAAATGTGCAGAGGAACATCATGATGTAAGTTATACTTGTTAGTACTTCCATTGTGACATGGAACATAAATACATAAAAGGTAGAGTGTATTCTTTTCCTGTTCAACATTTTCCCCATTTTATGTATTACAGATTTTCATTATAGATACCTGCACCTGTATTTCATGATTATAACAAACACTATAATCTTAATGTCATAGAATCTTATTTGGGCCATCTTCAGCATTCCCTGGGTCCACCTCAGTATTGAAAATATTGAAGATTTGTTAAATATCTTTATTGTATCATTTCTGTCTCAAATAAAAGATGTGATCTTCAGATAACTAAGAGCACTAACACTTATTTCCTCACATTTTAATTAATGCCATAACCTTCTTTTTCCACCAATAAGCAGTCAAGCACTGTGCTACAATCAATAAATGAAAAATTAGATTGAATTGCTGTCTCATTCCAGTATGTTCAATATTCAGGTGCACTCCTATGCATGATTAGTCAGAAGCCAGTTCCACTGTTATAGTCCATTGTGTGCATTCATTATGTTCCTAGGATTTTAGCCTTAGTCTTTACTGACATCACTTAAGGCTCCAGTGGAACTGCAATACCAATTATATCCTTAATTATACCCAAGCACCTGTGCCTAGACTAGCTGAACAATGTCACCCCTTAAAATAGGACACTATCAGCAAATTGAATTAGTACATTCCCCTCACCCTAGTTCTTCATTGCTAGCAAACTAAATGTTTATAATAATTCTCAATCAACTGCATACATACATACATCACCACACTATTCCCTTTTGGGGTAAATTATATTATGCGAAGTACAAAAAGGGAGAAATAGTAACCTGAAAAATCTTAAATGTATAAGAAAAAGAAGTACAGATAGTTCTCGGGTTACAACCACTTGTTCAATGACCATTCAAAGTTACAACTGTGCTGAACAAGGGGGACTTCAGACCGGTCCTTGAAGTTGCAGCCGTTGCAGCACCCCTGGGACATGTGATCGCGATTCGAGCTCTTGGGAATAATGGTTGCAGTGTCCCATAGTCACGTGATTGCCATTTGTGACCTTCTCTGCTGTCTTTCCACAAGCAAAGTCAATGGGGAAGCCATCAGGAGGCCGCAAGTTGCTCCCGTTCCTGCTGCTTTTTCTCCTGAGGAAACCCCGGGTGGCAGGGCAAGTGCAGGCCTTGGGTGCCCAGCTGGCTGCACTCATGCTGGGCCATAGCGCCCACTCCCCTGGTCATCTGCACTTGTGTCATGCTGCAGCATGCCCCCATGCGCCTAGCTGCACTTGTGCCGCACTGCAGCACCCAACCACCCCCACCTGCTCTCTGTAGCACTCAACTGCCTGCGTGCCACCTAAGGAAAGGCTTGTTGTGATTGGGAGTTGCAACTTCCTGCTGGCTTCCCCATTGACTTTGTAGTTGGAAGCTGGCAGGAACTCACAAGTCACGGTCACGTGAGGTCCTTACTTAATGACCCACAGTCCTCACTTAACAGTGGCAATGGACTGTGGGGATTGCTGTCACTAAGCAACATGGCCCTGTGGCATCACACTTTATGACCGCATTGCTTAACAACAGAAATTCCAGTCCCAATTACTGTCATTAAGCAAGGTCTACCTGTATAACATCTAGTGTATAGTAACTTCATTCACTATATTATTCCATTCCTTTCTATCCTTGCAAATCACCACATTTTGGCTTCCACCATATCCATACATTGCTTCATACATTGCCCTTTGTTTTTTAATCTTTTGAGGATTGCACCAACTTGGCCATGATTTTCTCTGTCTTCACTTTCCTCCCCACCCATTCATTCTTCCTTCCTATGTTTGTTTTATAACTCAATCTTTATTCATCCAACTTTAAACTGGACATTCATTTGTATAAACAAGATTAAATTGCTATTTATTGTATGGGATAGCTTAGCCAATATTATTCCATTACATTCTTCTTGCAGTTTATTTCAATAAGAATTTTATATGATCTACATAATATTCCTTTGTTTGAATCTTCACAAAGTTCTCCATATGTTGTTTGACCTTTGGAAATGGTTCTTTTCAATTATCTATGTTCCTCTTGCTGTAACTGAAAATTCTGGGGACAAAGAAACAATTTTCTAAATAGTTCTTCTATATAAATCCTTCTTTGTCCTCTTAATTGCTTTAATTATGATTCCAAAGTATAAAAAAGATTTGTAAGGAAATGTCTTGGGGTTCATGCCATGAGTTAATATGCCATAACCAGTTAAACTTTACTTTCTTTTTTACTTATTTTTCCACCCATGGGGCGGATGCTTCATCCATTCTTTTAGAGCTTGAAGTCGGATTGCATAATACTGCACAGACCCATAGCCATAGAGGAGGACTTTTTGCACTCCTCCTAAATGTTTACAAATAATTTTCAATAACTGTACTGCCAATGTGAGGTTTTCTACTTTCTAGAACGTTGCAGCAACTTAAGAATACATATAGACAACCTGAATCCTCAAAGGGTTTTTAAATTTGAAGCCCATACCCTGTTTCCCAAAAGGCTTTGTAAGGCTTAGCTATGAGCTCTTTCTCATAAAATTGGTGTTGGGGCAGAGGTACTCAACATTGTGACCCCCTGATCCTCTAACATTAATTAATGAATTTGTGATACTTCATGAATTAGATAAAACTGTTTCATGGGAAATAAGGGAACATCTCCCCACCCCCACCTCACAACAACAAATAAAATATAAAATTATATTTTCAGTGGTGTTAGAAGGTTGGGACATGTAGACAATATATAAAATTATCTCTAAATGTCTTAATATATAAAAATGTCTTCATGTCCCAACCTTCTAACAGTGGGAAGGGTGAGATTGTTTACTTTTGCATCATTCCTGAAATCTGGGTTTCATTTTAAAGATATGTTCATCAAAGTCAGAGGGGAAAAAGAAAAAAGAAAACAGAATTCCCTTCCCTTAAATCAGTTTCTCATAAGCAGTGTTGCAGTTTGCAAAACACTGGCAGGCTCTAAGTTGCTTTTGGTGTTTTCTCTCTCAATGCAACTGCACAGAGAGAGATCACTCATAGCCAATCTGCTCTTTCCCTTCTGGTCTTTGCTTGTTAATCCCTCCAGCTATTCCTGCAGTTTCCTTCTATCTGATGCTTTACAGCCTTTCCTCCCTTCCCTCCATTGTAATTCTATCTGCAGAGTGAGGGTCAGAGCTTTGCACAGAAACCTCGAGGCATGATACTCCTTTGAAACGGAAATACAGTGTGGAAAGAAGAAGAGAAGGAGGAAAAGGAGGATGATCTTGCAGGCTTCACGTAGGGTTCCAGAACTGCATGTTGCTTTGCATTCAGTATATATGCATCAAACTAATAAATTCACTCAACATTCTTGCAAGGCCCTGAAGCAGAAAAAGATAAAAAATGTCCAGTCTATGAACCTACAAACTCATACACAGGGCATTTGCACCAACCCAGCATTGGCACTGGGCTGCTGTGTTTCCATGGCTTCTTCCTCTTGGGCAGCCAGTTTTCTTCTGGTTCAACTGCAGGGCAGCTGAGATTGGAAAACTTCCATCTGGAATTCCTGAGGGATTAGGAGCAGATGGTTTTCTCATTTGTGGAAACTCTTGTCTTGTTTAACTTCCTGGTCTCTAATTTCACAGTTCTTCAGTAGATTTAGTCTTATGAGTGAATCTGATTTGAATCTTCCTGGTCGGTTTCTAATCAGGTTCACATCTTATTAAAAATGTCCAGCTTGAATTCTTATGTTTATATGAGCAGCCTACCCCAGATGCTTGCCTCATCCCATGCGCTTAGCCTCTAGGCTCAAATGAGCCATTGCTCTCCCATCCCACCCACCCAAGCAGAGAGACTACACTACAATCTCTAGTCATATTTGTAGCTGTCTGGGAAAGTACCTGGCTACAGAACTAGGGAGTCATGCATTGCGTTACAGGTTTCAGCAGCTTGCATTTCAATGTAAGAAGAAAGAAGCCTTGATGGCCAGGAGGCTCTTCTCTCATACAAAAGCCTTGTTTTCTTCTTCTTCTTCTTGGCTAATGGCCAATTACACACTCACTCACACACACACACGTATGAAGCAGCACTTTGTTTTTACCCACTTCATTGTGAAGCAGGGGCAAAGTTGTTGTTTGCTGTTGTTTCTGCCATATCTTAGGAGGTGGCACATTTATGAAATGAGAACTTTGGCACTTTATTGTTAGCCAGCTGGAGGGACCCCTGATTGGCTGTCGGTTTCTCCTATTTGATCTCAGAATTCTAGGCTTCAAAGTGGGCAGGAGAGAGGAGTTAACCAGTTAACTAAAATTGGTAGGTTCTTAAATAAAGCCAGTTTGGGGTGATCACACTTAGAGGTCAGTCTTAGAAATTTTCCCTTTCTAAATATTACTCTGGTACAGCTAATTTAACAACAACAACAACAACAACAAAAATCTTCTGGTTGACTGGGATATAAAGCTTAAATGAATGCAAAATAGCTCCCACGAAATACTTCAAAGGAGTGACTAGTGATAATCTGTTTTGGTTTTTTTAAAATTTCATGTTAAATAGGTGCATTGGATTTACTGGTGGCTTTGCCTAAGGAATTGCTTCCAAGTGCATAAATTAGGGCACCCAATATATTTAGATTTAGATTGTGTGGGAATTCTGTTTCTATTTTATGCCTTAATGGGGGGGCTACTTTTTAAAGACACATGTACATGCCTTCTTAGTACATGCAGACACTTCTGAAGAACTTACCAAGATACCAAGAATCATGAATGCATGCCTGGATGCTGGGCAGGGTGAGTAGCCAAAATAATAATTATGTAAAATGGATGCCCCTAAAGATGTGTTGCTGCTCTCCATCCTTTCTTTTCCCTGTAGGTTTATTGATTGGTTCTGGGTGCGCTCTCTATCCTCTGGGCTGGGACAGTGAAGAAGTCAGACAAGCCTGTGGCAACCTTTCGAACCAGTTTGAACTAGGTAAGTTGAATAACTCTGACCCTGTGGAGATTGGCTTTAATCAAATGGATTCACAAACACTCAGACTGTTGACATAACAAAACCAGAAAGAGGGAAAGATGCAATTAAGAAAAAAAGTTCCCCAAGGAATGGAATAGCTGCCCAGCCAAAAACCATAACCTATGACTAAGGTAAAACCACTCCAGAGGCTCATGCCTATATGCTAGTTTAACTGCTGGCTGTGTTTGCATAACATGGTAAGATATAAATCAGTTATAAACTACAATTACTGGGTTCACTTAACTTGTAAAGCAATAATAATAATAATAATAATAATAATTATTATTATTATTATTATAATAAAAAATCCATTATGGTTTAGAACATTGTGTGAACTGAGTCCCTAAGTATATATTCTTCCCTAATTTCTGCCTTCTGTAATACTTTAAGTCTTGTAATGGGAGTCCTTTAAATTGTAGACTTTAGCTTGTTTAGAAATGGTTATCCTCAGTTAGTGTGGGGATCCTACATATAGAAACCAAAAACACCAGGTCCCCCAATACCACGCTGAAGTAGAGGAAAAATGCCCTTTTTTCATGGTTCCTGGCTCCCTAAGAGATATCCAAGTGCAGCCTGGATAAGGAAATAAAATTCAGTCAATGCTATGTCCTCAGTATAACTTCCCCAAATTTGCATCCCACTTGGGATTACTTTAACAGAAAACAGATTAACAGTTCATATATATTTCTCCAGACCTTCTGACAGGGCACTCTAGATTAATGGCAAGTAAACTGGAACACAAACCTGATTTGCCCCAGTTACTCTGTTTAAACCAAGAAACATTAAGACTATACAAAATGATGGAGACCTCAGAAAGTAAGTGTCATCTGTAGCCTAGTGCCCCTTGCCTGTGGTTTGCCAAAATGCCTTCTATTTATGGTTTTAAAAGCCATGGATAATCACATTTCACATGCTGTTGGCAATTCCTGAATGAAAGGTAGAATATAAATCTAACAAACAAACAAATCAAAGAAGGTTAGTTTATTCTGTGTGTAGCAGTTGTCTGGCATACTGCCTGAATTCCAAAAGCTTCTGACTGTTACTCAGAGCGTCTGGCTTTAATCTTTTAAAGTAGGCTTTTTAAAATGTTTTTCCCATTTTCTCACACCTCTCAATGTTTTCTCTCTACCCCGTTCCCCATTCTCCAGAATTTCCAGAGTCACAGACACATTTATATACACAGTACTTATTAAAAGGAAAATTACCTTGAATGTAAAATCACCCACCCCAAAAAGGAAGATGAGACAGAAAAAAATCATTACCCTAAGTGCAGATTTGCTAATATAAGACAGCTCTTCTATTTTAAATGTCAACTATTTGGGAGTGGATATTTCAATCTTCAAGTTACTAAAATATTCCTAGGAAATGAAATAGATTTGTGATTAGTATGCATGTTATCAATGTAAATATGTTCAGTAGTGCATATATTTCTCAGAAGCCATCACAGAGTTTGGGGGTTTGGGCCATACCACTGTCTCCAACCAATAACACTGTCACTTTCTCTAAATTCTTCTCTAAGTCCTTTAACTCAGCACCACATACATTTATGTCAGTATTCATTGCTTCTACCTCTTCCCCATCATTTATCGTTGCCTTTGCAAAGCTGCACGCTTTCCTGCACTTTAGACTCTGCCAGTTTAAGAACATTCATCCTTCCTACTTAACTGTTCTCAGCATTAGTGAGCAACAGCAGCCTGCTGATTCAGTCCAAAGGTTAGTCTAGCCCAAATAAGTGGCCAGGCACCTTTCAAAATCTCACAAAGAGCTGACAAAAACAACTGCACCCTCCCATTCCTGCTCCCCAATAACTAGGATCAAGAGTTTTCCTGTCCCAAATATTGGATTATAATCAGGTATTACAACTAACCAAGAAGGAGAATATGTGAGAATCACTTTTTGGCTGAATTCATACATGGCACCAAGCCATAATTTTGTTAACCATCCGAAAAGGTCACAATTGACTGGGTTTGCATAGCGTTCATTGGTTGCAGCAGGAAAATAGAAGGAAAATAGAAGAAGGCAGAATTTTTTGGATATTTGTTATATGTTTGCCGCCTTGAGTTGTATATGAAAAAAAGGTGGGATAAAAATCTAAATCTAAATCAATCTCTATCTATCTGTCTATCTATCATCTATCTCAATGACATTGACTCTTTTCTAGCAGCAGGAAGAGAGCATTAATCACACCTGAGGGGTAAGTTTGTTTAGCCCCACATTACCAGAGCTGTTTGGGGCTGCAGCTAATCCCCTCTAATCCAATACTGATTGGTTTTGCAGTATGCAAGATACACTAACCCCGACCCCCATGACTGAGTTAGGCATGTTGTGCAAACAGGGCATTTATGTCCCAAGTGCAGGAATTAAAATTGCTCAGGTTCTCCCTGTGTCATTCTCCCTGCTGCTTTTAGAGGAGACTTACGTCTGTCCAGGTTAAATAATGAATTCAGCAAGCTAAACTAGGTGCAGGGCAGCTTATCTGGACAGTTTTTGAACATAAAAGGAGTTCTTAGAACCCCTAAAAACTCTGGTGAGTGCCTGTTTCTATACAACCCAAAAAACCCTAGGCACTTGGCTAGTAGGCATAACTCTTGAAGTAAGAAAACCTCACATCTTTGCTTATCATCATACAGAGGCAGCAAAATGTTTACAAACCTTGTGGGTGGAGAACAAATGAAAATGGCCTATGAATACACAGGTTTTCCTTCAATTATTAAATATGGCATTAAAGTATTACTATTTTTCCAGTGGGGGGAAAGATCAAGAAAAGGAGGACAGCACTTCCAATAAGATTGTCCTTGTGTGTGTCTTTTGTCCCCCCCGTAGGCACCTGTGAAATTGGCTGGGCGTACTACTGTACAGGAGGAGGAGCTGCAGCGGCAATATTGATATGCACTTGGCTGGCCTGTTTCTCTGGCAAGAAACAAAAACAATATCCTTATTAAAGCCAGGAAAAAAACCAGAACAAAATGAACCAGTTTTTGGGGCGGGGTGGGGGTGGGGGGAACAGTTCATATGTTTTTTGAGAAGATGCATTAACTCTTAATTGGAGCCAGGTAAATGCAAACAAGAGTCAGTGAAGTTGGAACTGATGTGTGACATTGTGAATAGAAGGAGGCTCTCTGTGTCTTAAGAAGAATCTCAAACCGAGAATCGTAGGGGCTAGGCACTAATTGCATTCTTCCTAGCGGGTTATGGGCATAGTCCAACAACAAGAAGTCTCCTGTCATGAAGGGTGGGGAGAAGTGATGGAATTTTAGCACGCCTTCAGTTGAAAAGAGTTAAAGAACACTGTCTTTGAACACAAGGATTTGGCCTTAGAAAGGTTTCTCTGCTGTGTCAGCAAATAGGGAAGAAAGGGAATATTTCTTCCCCATTCTGTAACCTGCTTAACTGTGAGCAAGTGCCAATTTTCCTAAAGTGTGGTTATCACTTACATGTATATAGGGAGCCCTGTTTTCAGGCCTTAACATAGTTTGCCTTTAAAGGCATCACCGGCTGGTGGACTGGTCCCCTGTGGAGTATGATTTGTTGATTTAATCCAAAAGAGGCAGGGGCCTTCTTTGTGAGCACAGCTTCCAACATTTGCACAGACACTTTTCCTTCAAACACACACAACAAATGGTAGCCTCATGGATCAGTTTTTTTTAAAAAATGTACAGCCTTCAAACATTTGACCAATCTCTGTGTGTGTGTGTGAGAGAGAGAGAGAGAGACAAAGCAGTTTGAGTAGTAAATTGCTGTGGCAGCCACTGTTACTCAGGCAAATTTCTAAAGCCAATATCAATCTTTTCACCTCTACCTAAAAAGCACAGAAATCCACTTCAAACATTTCTCCGTCTTCACCAACGCATGTATCAGCTCATTGCTTCATTTACAGATTACACGCAGATTTGGCCTAATTACCTCTTTTATAAAAGTCTGGGCAGTGAAACATCTGTTTTTTTCATATGAAAAAAAATTTTTTTAATGGGCAATTGGAAACAGAAAGTTGGCAGGTGTGAATGAATTGAACACCACACTAACATATTCTTCAACTTCCAAATGCCCCCATGAGGCAGATTTTCACATCAGAAAAAGCTATGATGAGATATTTACCTATAGTGTGAAGTGTGATCAGCCCTATTTTTTTGACACTATCAAACATGTTCAAAAGATTTTTTATCCAGATGTGCAAAACCACATACATCTTCCCAATGTATTTTCCATTGAACTTCCTTTTTAAAAAAATTATATTAAGATTTTTTTTGGAGAATAAAAGACAAATCAGAAGAAAAAAGAGAAGCGCAAGAAACAAAAAAGAAAGAAAAAAACCCTAAAGTTAAGGGATATATGAATGACTTCCAACCTTTTCAACAGATAATTACAACCTTATTATCCCTCCTCCCTCTTAGATATTGTAAGTCCCTTCAGCCCCTTATTTAATCCACATCTTTCTTATTCTTCACCAGTGTATTTTCCCCTGCACTTCCATTTCTGTCTGTGATCAACTACATAAGCATACATGCTCTACACTTTTTTCTTAAGCTCTAAGCTTAGTACAAAGCTCCCTCCTTTGTCAGGTAATTAAAACAAGAAAAAGGGATCATTTCTCCTTCAATCCAAACTTTCCCTCTTCGCATTCCCTTAGAGAGAATTAAGATAATAAATACGCCCTTTTCTCCTTTCTTTCCTTCATATATTCACTGGGAAGGGGAACAGGGGAAATGCTACTACCTCTGCGGCTGCTCATAACTGTCCCGTGAAGGGAAGGGCTGTGTAATGCTTGCTGCAATGCGAAGTTTCCTTTATGTGGACAGAACACACCTATTTTGGTGATGCACAAGGCCACAGAGGTCAGGCCACCACTTTTACTGGGCCAGTTTTCTTTCTTTGCAACCACTACATTCCCTGCATATTTTGTCATTGCTAGGGGGGTGCAAGAGCTCCAGCCCAGAATGTTCCAATCCCTTCTGATTGGATCTGCAAACAGCCAATACTGAAGTCGGAACATTCAGGGACAAAGTGCTTTGCACATCCAGCTCCATTGCATTGTGGGGAAAGACCCTCTAATACCAATACTGTGGAGTAGAGCAATTGCAATAAATACTCTGTGCACTTAGTTTGTGTGTGTGTGTGCACGTGTGATAAATTTAAATTTCAGAATTATGCCACATTTTAAACAAAAATTCTAATGGACCTATGGGCCATTTCCCCATTATTTTATATAGTATAGGTATGTGTGTTCTCAAGTTTTATTAATGTCATTTTCAGACCTATATCAATTTTATTAATCTCAACATTTTCAATGTTATTAAAAATGCAATATTATACTCAGCATATGTAGCCTTTTAGATAAGAGTATTCCTACAAAGGGACAGTTCTGTCCAGTGACACTAATGTGTGTGGCACAGTAGAATATTACTACTTATGCAGGAGCAACAAAAAGCATCTTCCAGGTTTTATTACTAATATTGTTATAATTATTGTTGTATTGTGCTGTATTGTTTAATATTCATTTTTATAATGCAATACAAAATGTACTATTTTGTTAGTACTTTAGAATCTGTATAAATAAATGTCTTCTTCAACTGTACAGTACATTTTTTTTTCATATAATCAAATGTTTGGCTTAGTCCTAAGCATATGCTGACTGACTATGGTTCAGTCTTTCCGTGTTGATCGTAGGAACAAGATAACCACAGACATGCAGACACAGCCACATGCTGGAACAGAGCTCGACAGAATAAGGGGGAAATTGGCCTTACTTCCTTTTAGAAAAAGTGAAGGGTTAGAAGGTCCCACCCCATACTAAACAGCCGCTTATGCCTTCTGATGCAAAGTCGCCTGGCTTGTCTGGCAGCACAGAAGAGGAGCAAGCAATAGCCTTTGTCTGTGTATGTGGAATAACATTTCCAAAATGGCCATAAAAGGGGAATTGCATCCTGCATAGCTGCCATTGTACATTGAACCCAAGTCTCTGGGGCCTCAACCTACAGCCTCTTTAGCTGTAGGAACTGAAGTATTAGAATATATGTGAGTATATTAGAAAGAGGAATGAGAAAGAGTACATTAGAAAGGGGAATTCCAGTGACCAGAGCAACTTTCATTAAAACAATGTGGAAACACTCTAGAATTAAGGTAAAAGATAAAGGCTTTCTGAAGCAGAGGTCAATTCCCAGTGAATATATCGCCATGCTGGGTTTTGGGTTTTTTTTTTTTTTGGTACAATATGGAAGTGGTTTGCCATTGCCTCCTAGGAGCCTCTTGATTTCCCAATCTAGTTTACAGTCCTGAGATTCCCTGACTTCAAAGTAAAGTAGGCTAAAGTTGTTAAAATCTCACTGGCTTTTCTCTTTACATTAGCACAATACAAGATTTTTATATCTTGTCAGAACTTTTGGGCACAGTAACAGATACAAAGTTCATAGGAACAATGTTAGTTAATTATGTGCCATCAAAACTTTTTTGACTTTTTCCACATAGATTTTCCCCAAGACGATCTACCCCTAACCTGGTCTTTCTCATCCCTTCTGTTACTGAGTCTATCCCCACCTTGCTGCTAGTCATCCTCTTCTTCTCTTTCCTTCTGCCTTTTACAGCATTATAGCCTTTTCCAGAGAGCTGGGTCTTCGCATGATGTGTCCAAAGTAGGATAATTTGAGCCTGGCCATTTGCGTCTTGAGTGAGAACTCTGGGTTGACTTGTTCAATGATCCATTGGTTTGTTTTCTTGGCTGTCCACAATATTCTCAGTTTTTTCCAAAATCAAAGTTCAAAAGTGTCAATGCTCTTCCTATCCTGCTTCTTCAAAGTCCAGCTTTCGCTTCTGTAGAGTGTCACAGAGAATACCACGGCTTACACGATTCTGATCTTTGTAGGTATAGACATATCATGGCATTTGGATACCTTTTCCCAAGGCCTTCATGACTGTTCTACCAAGTGCTAGTCTGCAGTGTATTTCTTGACTGCTTGTTCCTTTACTGTTCAATGGTTGATCCTAAAAGGGAGAAGCTATCCACCACTTTGATATTGTCACTGTCAATTCTAAGGCTGGTTGTCAATAATTTGGTCTTCTTTATATTTAATTTTTGTTAGTTAATCCAAATGCTTTATATACTGTATAATGTTGTCTTTAACATGTTTATAACATGTCAGTATGCAAAACAGTGTTTTTCTGTACAGATTATAAACTGCCATTAGTTTTGCTCTGCTTTAAAACTAATGAACACCATCCAGAAAAAAGTTTTTTTTTAAATGTAAGAACCATCACAATAATAGGTATAAAATGAGGCAACTATTATATATGAAATTGGTTTGGTAGGCTGAACAGTCACAGTATACTTTAAAAAATATTAATTTCAGAGTCCTATATAGAAATATAACAGAAAAACAGATCAGCAATTGGAGGAATGCTTTAAGTTGCCTTTAAATAGGGGCTGTGCTTAGAAAAGCCTTCAGGGGACAGGGACTGCCATTGAGAAGTCTGTGCTCTGTTGAAGCTGAAGTACAGTACTGTTTTTCAAAGATCTTAACTGCTCATGCAGGAGGAGTTGCTCCCTGAGATAACTGCAACTCAAGGCTGTAATACAGCTTTTCCTATTTCTTTCACATATCCATCAGACTATTCTGTTGTCTCTCATTGACTGTCAATAAATTTAAGGCTGGAGATAAAACCACTACAAACGAATAATTCTGATTATGTTAAAGGAATGAACAGAGTAACTCTTGGAATTGTATTACAAGAGAAATAATTTATATGCAAAACCAATTAAACCCAATCCATAAAATGTGGCTAAAATAATGAAAGACAAATCAGTCCCTGAGATAAATGCACAGAATGAAACACTAGCTATATCAAGTGTTATACAACTGGAGAGAGCAGGCAATCCAGTAGAGCAGAATTCCTCAGGCAGTTAGTGTCTATTCCTATGGCCCCCCAACCAGCACAGCAACCAGCTGTGAGGCATTGGAAAGTATGAGAGCTACAGCCCACCCTATCTGGCTGTGACCAAAGAGAGATTCCACCCTTGCTCATACAGCATGGAAGATGCCATTAATCCAAAGGTACATATTTCTGTACTTGTTCAGCTCCAAGTTCTGCCACATAAATGGCTCCAGTACTCATGCTGACGTCCAGAAGATGGGGCTTGACTTCTCCTGCAAGCTGGATTGTGTCCACCACAATACAATCCCCAATTAATCCTACTGGTGGGGCTGCCAAAATAGAAATCCTATTAATATTTAGGTGGGCCACAATTATATACTGCTGATTGGGAGTAAATCTGTAAGTGGGAGAGAGAGAAAAAAGGAAACAATCTTCAAGATCTCATTTTGTGAGCAATATGCATTTCTGTTGGATCTGAGGCATCACTGCTCTCTCTCTATGGATACCCACTCTGCCTGAAATGCTGCTCTAAGAGTTTCCTGAAAATCCTAGTAAGTCCTATTGGTGGGATACAGTAGATCCCCTGGAATTTTGGAGCCAATTTTCAACAGGGCTGTTGGGTGCAAATATGGAAAAGTGACAGGCACCCTTCAATAACAAAAAACATAGTGCAGTTCTTTGGACACAAACTTCAATATTCAGAGGTATGATCTGAGTATATGAAATATGGGTATTTTTGCATTTTTAAAAAATCAGTACTACTAAAGAAGTCTGCAGACTGGTGCTGGTCTGTGAACTGTTCATTACTGGTCCATGATAAGATATAATTCTTTCGTACAATTCCAAAATAGTGAGATTATTTCACATGAAAGGTCACATCAATGAAACTACAAGAATGCTTAAAATCCCTGTTTAATCCTCTTCAATCCAGGTATAAATAGGATAGAAATTACTCAAATTGTCCCTGGGTCCAAAGAAGTTTTTTTTTTTGCTTGCTAACTGAGGAAGCAATTTTCATCTACATCTTGCCCTACCTAGAGCTCAACCTCCCCTTCTTGGTAGCATAAAATGCATTGGGGGGAGGGGGAACCAAGACAAATATAATATCCCACTCTTCCATTTGTAATGCTGTGAGCAAGCTTTTTTCCATAAATGAAACTTCACTCAGTGAATACTTGGATCCAACCCAAATGCCATTTTAAAATATCAGGCAGTTTCATACTTTCTTCCAAGAAAGTGAAATTGAGCTTTTTAAGGTCAGAGTCACAAAAAAAGTGTCGAGGCTACCAGTTACTGGCAGTTCACTTTCAAAAATATACTAGTTATGAAAAACTTATAACTAATGCCACATTTCAAAATTAGGAGGATATGAATTTCTGGTGAACCCACTGGCACATTTAGAGTGCTACATAAGTGTTATCTGGCTCTATCCTAGGAACTGGAACCCTTCATTAGAGATCCTATATACAAGAGAATTCTTGTTCAACCAGATGGTTATTTGAAAAATGTTCTCCATCCAGTGTATACACTGGCATGCATGCACACAGATACTATACCTGACAGAGTAAGGGCCATCTTCCATGAAGCAGCTATCCCAAGACCCTAACCATTCCCCAGTGCTTTTTTCAAAAACTTGGATTCTCCAGTTGGCTCTATCTGCAACCCAGACCTAGTAGAAACAAAGAAACTGTTCTGAGCAATGAAAAAGAAAGAAAACTTTAAAAATACACATATGTATTTCAATTTCAAACAGATTGCTCTCTAAATTAATAATCACCATCTCATTACTCTATGTTAGGTATGAACCAAATCTTGATATTCAAGCAATATGTAAACCTTTTCATTCACCCAAATGTTTTGAATGGTCAGCAATGCAATTGTTCAACTGCTGCTTTCAGGGGCGTGGCGGGGGGAGGGTTGGGGATTGAAAAAAGTCAAGATGGCAAACTCTGCAAATAGAACCCCATATGTGTGTCATCTCATGTACATACAAAGTGCTGAAACAATAAAGGCTATATGGCTGTAGCCTGACCAACAGTATTCTAATTAATGTGGTCAACAGTATTATGTTTTATGCAATTGTCAAAATTATCACTGCTACTTTACCCGTCCAACTGAATCCACTGTTACACTATGTGGAATCCTGAACTGTGTAGGAGCAGTACCACTTTCTCCACGCAGCCATAGGGCCCTAAAATCTGTGGGTAGAAAGCTGTCGATCAAGCATTATTCACTGCAATGTGTTTACAGTAAAATATCAGAATTAAAATAAAAGCAGGAGTAGAAAACCCACAGCCCAGGGGTATGTATGGACCTCAGTACCCATTTTCTGTCAATTCTTGTGCTATTTCACACTTTTCTTCATGTTAAAAAGATGTAAAATGGGTGCGATCAATGACACTTTGAGGCTTGACTCAATTTTCACTTAAAAAGCTACCAAACTGCCTCCAAAAAAACCAAGACTGAACATTTTGCCCTCACCTGCAATCAAAAAGGTTGCCTAGCAGTTTAAAGGAGTAACATTTTGTATGGCATAGCCATATCGCAACAGGTTTGCCTGAAGAAAACTGAAGATGGCCTAACATTAGGAAAAATAATAAAGCAAGCATATTTGGGTCACAGAACTTCAGAAAATACCATGTTGCATTTCACCTATAAGCATTAAATTTTTTATATATAAATCAAATCAAATCAAATCAAATCTAGCTTTCCATAAAGTCCCATACAGAATACATTAGGATTTCAGCTTTCTGACTATTAATAGAACATGTATTTTCATTCTGCAAAATAATGCTCTTTAAGATGTGGGATTTATGATCAGGATATTATTGAAAAAAATATTATTAGAATCCTATAAAAAGATAAGTTACCAGTAAATCTTCAGTATTACTTATATGCATATCAGCTCTTTGTGCCTGCAGAGGCCCTAAGAGAAGACAATTTTCTTATTTGGAATCTCATAATCTGTCTAAATGTCTTACAGCGTGGTTGCACAACCCAAACCTTGGCTAATCTCAAGAAAACTAAACAGGGTTGAACCTGGTTAATGCTTGGATGGGAGACTGTCAGGAAGCCCCATCATTGTAGGCTAGACTGCAAAGTTTAAAAAGAATACTGCTCAAAGAAGATAATGTCAAACCACTTCGATATTGTTGCCAAGAAAGCCACATGGAGACGTTCACGTAGTCAACAGCTAATGCAGATTGCACCAAAGAGAAACCATGTAACCACTGCTAATGTGTTCTGTTATCCTAGAAAAAGCCACAAATGCAATCTTTCCCAGTCTTATGTCCTCCAGGTGAGTTTGATATTCTGTGACTTATAGTCCAATCAACATCTAAGGCATATCAAGTTAGGAAAGGGTACATTAGCATATTAAAAATGAAAGCCAGTATCAACACCTTAAACATTCATTTGCTCACCTTTTGTCAATTTGAGCAAGCGGTTATTTAATCCTCCATCACCATCCACAATGTAGATATTTCCTGTTGATTCAACAAAAACCTCTGCTGGCTGGTCAAACTGTAGAGGATATGTACCAGAACCTGCTGTGCCTGGAGTGCCTATGACTTGAAGGAGTTCACCTGAAGGGCTGTATTGTTTCACTGAGTGTCCATATTTTCCTGCATTAAGAAGAAGTTGAGACTTTCCAGCAAGGTCACAAATATCAGTCTTACAGATAAAATAACATTTTTTTCCCTATCCTGTTCAGAAGCAAACTAGCAGAACTTCTGGATCCTAAGCATAGAACCTTTCTGCTCTGCATCACAGACAGTTGCTCATAATGAACTCCTCTTCCTGTTCTTTCTCTGCCTGCAGTACTTGCAGTATCCTTGATCAGCATCTCCTTTTCTTCTTCATTCTCCTGAAACTTTGTACAAACAACAAGATCTGCAGGGGTGTGGAAAGAACATGGATAAATCTCCATTCAAAAGTATGGTGCAAGCCGCACACATTCCAAATAACTGAATTCTGATTAAACAATCTATGCTACAGTATTTCAAAGCAGATTTTTTGTCAAGTATAAAAAAGGATCTGGCTGCAGCCATGTCAGTTGTAGTGATGTATCTGTGAAGATACTGAAAATGGTCTGCCACAGTGCCATGGGCCTTTTGTTCTTGCACTGTCCAAAGCCTTCAACGCTACTATCCATTAACAACCCATTTTCTTAAAATGGGAATGCAGTCAGCAGTTACTTGGACTGCATGCATATGCTTTGTATGAGCTGCACTGTAGCCAAACTGGACACTCATTTCGGTATCCCCCACAGAACCTTTCAAGCTGATGAATTTGCAAAATGTAGGAGGCCCTGGGCCTTGCAAAAATGAGGGCAGGGAAGTGCCATCACCTTTTCTCATTCACAGAATTTCAAAAAGCACACTAGGTGCTGATGCCAACTCCCATTAGTATCCCTACCATATTTTTCTACCGCTGAAAATCCTGCATGGAGAGAGATGAGATAGATGCATCATTGACTTTTGATTCCTGTGACTAGAAGCCTTCTGTATGGAAGCATGCTTGGGTTGCTATCACTCAGAACACTATCCCCTTTTATCCTGAAAAAGGAGGGACAGCTGCTTAAGAACATGGAAGACAATCTTAAGAAACAAACTAAGATGGTCAGGAGAGGGGCAACTTGGGTGAAAAGTGAACTACCTAACCAATTTGTTGAGTTTTGAACTCTCATTCTGAGCTGATTATTGGTTGTACTTCTATTTCGATTTTAATGGTGGCACAGAAGTTCCAGTAATTGATGCTTTTTAAATGAAATATTGGTATGTTGTCTTAAAATGACTCTACCTCCCAGAGTCCTTTATCATTGTCCACACTCACTTGGGCTGATGGGATATGAAGACTGAAATATCTGATCAACTCCAGACTACCTACCTTGATATAAATGTTTAATCTTGGATTCCAATTTATTTTGTGGAAGGACAGCATCTCAACTTAAGTGCAATCCAAAATACACTTCAGTTGCAAAACATAGACACACAACAGCATTCCTTTTTCATATTAAACAGCAATTTTTCTACGCACCATTTCCTACATCTGTGATCCACACAGAGCTCGCATTGGGTGTGCTCAGTGCAAAGATTCCATGGGGCATCTCAATGGTGGTTGTATTCCACTTTTGAACAAGATAGCCTTCCTCAGAGTATACTAAGACCTTCGGCACATCATCATTACCTCTCTCAAGGTGCACAAAGATAATAAAAGAGAATCAGAGAGATACTGCAGACAGAAAACCTAATCGTTTTTTTCATTATAGCTTCTTATAAATTGCATTAAACATTACTATACTGTAACTCCAAAGAGCCTGATCAAGTATGGTTATCCCCAAAAAACAAACAAGGAAAGGAAATACATTCAATAAATACTAGTCAATTAGCTTTTGTCAATTTTCTGAGTACTTTGGGGCCCTTATGTAAAAGGCAAGTAACTGGTGGTTCCAAGGAGACCACAGAAACCAATGTTGCAAAGTAACAGAGATACCAACACAGCAGTACAACAGATATCAGCCATAATTTTGTGTGCTGATTAAGAAAACTGTTACAGCTGTTTTGAGAAAATTAGCCCACCCTTCCCTAATCCAAGCATCCTTCTGTTATGCAGACATCAACTTCCAGAATTTTCAGCAATGGTCATGTTAGCTGGGAAATTCTGCATCTGGAAGGCCAAATATAAGGAGGGCATCCAAGTATTTAGCCCAAGACTTTGTTGTCAAAAGACACAGGAAAGTACTTTCAGAAAGCTTTACAGCAGCCCAAGAGGACAATGGCCTTTCCCTCTTACTTGTTCTCACCATTTGTACATTTGAGATATACTGCTACCTAACATAAAGGCTCCAAAATCTGTTCATGATCACAATGATTTATCATTTATGTCATTAATTCACTATTCAATAAGAAGCCTTTTCTGGAGAATGAACAGGATATAACAAAATAAAAATCACAGGTCCAAAAAAATAATAAAATACTCCAAAAGAGCTATAGAACAAGAGCAATACTCTATGTACAACATTACACAACAGAGGGTTCCAAAATAACTTTTGCAGAACTAAATATGGTAAACAAGAGCACAGTGAAAAAGTTAAGGTATCAAAATGCATTTTAAAAGGTCCACTTATTTTTAAAACTCCTGCGCTTGGCTGAAAAGACCTCAAGCATGGCACCATGTAAACTTGTTCTTCCATCTATACCACTTATGGACATTAAATAGAGAGCAGAGATCAGACTTATTTCCAGCCAGGATTGCTTTATACATTCATTCCTAAATCTGTCATATCTCTATCTATCTAGTTTTCTTGGCAAGATTTCAGATGTGGTTTGCCATTGCCTCCTTCCCAGGGCTGAGAGAAAGGGACTGGCCCAAGGTCACCCAGCTGGCTTCATGCCTAAGGCAGGACTAGACTCATGGTCTCCAGTCCAGTGCCTTAACCACTACACCAAACCGGCTCTCTTTTTAAAAATATCCACATAAAAATGATAAACACATTTCAACATGTATTTTCTCACAAAGTATGCTGATGTATTTATAGCTTAATATATGGATTGGTACTTTTTTCAAACTGAGAATTTCATTATGCAATGCAGAGGCATGAGCAAAGTGAAGGGCAATTACAATCCAATCTACACATCAGCCCAGTTGGTGCTGATCACATTGGTTTATATTCAGAATTCAGAAAGACGGAATCCCATAAGCATTTCTGTCAGAAGGGGATGCCAGAAAAGTCCCTGGCTCTCATAGCCACCTGCCCTACCCTAAGAATGGTTCAACTGCCTCGCCCCGGTGAGGAACCGCCTCGCCCCGGTCATCTCAGCCCACCCCACTCAGACCAGCAGAAGGGGCAGGTTGCAGACCCCACCCGTCA